AGTTTGTTAATAAATACACATACTCTTGCAGGATGTCATGTAGCAGACTTTCATAAAGGTAAGGTTGGCCTGAGTTCATATCTGTAGGTCAGAATGACTTTGAACTCCTGATCCTCTATCTCCCCAAGGGCTGAAATTATAGGCATGTCCCAATCACATAAGCTCCAGCTCTTGTTCATTCATTCATTCATTCATTCATTTGTTTATTTTGGAGACAGGGCCTCACTATGTACTCAGGCTGACTTTGAACTCATGGTCATCCTCTTGTCTTAGCCTCTCAGACTGTTGAAATTATAGGAATATTAAGTTATGCCTATAGTATATAATGTTCAAAATGTTTCTTGGAGTATTTGCTTCCCAGATTGTAAAAGTAGAATTATGACAGAAAAATTAGATGGCATAGCAGTACATCGGGAGAAAATTAAAATAATAACAACCATATTTATAGATACAACAATCCTCTCCCACAGCAACTTCTATCCTGGAAGCAAAACTAAGATATAGTGCTTCCTATAATCTTTGCTGTCCATGTGTGCATATGCATAAATAAGCACACAGTTTTTAAATGAAAGGGATACTATTATATACTAATTTTGCAGTCTACTTTACTTGGTATAGACATGCCTCCATTTCATTTAATATTTTCAAAGTCATGGTCTTCACTGTTGTATGTACAACTATAAAAAGTGGTTTTTACCATAAATCATGCTATACCTATTCTAAGTCATGCTGGATCAAATATTTTTGTCTTTAAATTTTGTGTATTTGCTTCCTTTATTAAGATAAAGTCCCCAGATTAGAAATACTGGATCAAAGAAAGCACATCAAAGGTCCACAGTGTTAAAAAGATCCCATTTTGCTAACTTTTGCATTTTCAAAGATTGTGTAGATTATATTCCTGTCAATAGTGACCCAGGGTGCCCATCACAAGTCATCTTTGCCAGTTTCTGTTGAGTGTTATTAAAGTTTCATTGCTTTATTTATTATCTTGCAACCAAGATTGCAATCTTGATCAGTGGCTGTGGTCATCTGCTTCTCTGTCTCTGCCACAGAACCTTGCCTAGTATCACTCAGGTAGTGCCAAGTAAGTGAAATTCTGTTCTGTGCTCTCTGGGGTTAAGAGCTGGATAAAGTACTTAGTCAGTTTGGGAGAGAAGGTTATATAGTCTTGTCCCCAGCCTTCCAGGCTAGGAAGAAAAAGACCAAATCACCAATTGTTGGCTGGTGTTGGGGTCCAGTACACAAGGGAACATGTCTGAGAGAGAAAATGAGCTGACTAGATCAGCCCTGCAACGTGTTTGAAATGAACTTTCGGTTCCATACTGTTGTCTGTTCTTCCTTCTGGGTGTGGAGAGGGTGGAATCCAATTTATAACTCAGTCATGTAGCAGAATGAGTGGAATTTTCCAGCTGTTTCCTCTTCTTGGTGCTTGGCAGAGTTACAGCATTGCCTTCTGGGAGCTATTAGGCTACAAACCCCAAAGCTTAGCTGGCTGTTTCAGCAGGTCAGATTAAGGAAACTCTGTTTTGGTTGGCACAAACAGCCACATAGGATTTCACACCATAAATACTGTGTGAACTTGCTTTCCTTGTGCTAGCTTCCCCATACACATGTTGATGGAGCTAAAGTGAGGACAATTTCGCAGCCCTCCCCACCTCAACACACACACACACACACACACAGAGAGAGAGAGAGAGAGAGAGAGAGAGAGAGAGAGAGAGAGAGAGAGAGAGAGAGAGAGACTGAGAGAGAGGCACACCCATCCTGAGTGCAGATTGTCTGGCAACAGAATCCTCTCTGATTGCCAGAGTCTAGGGGAATCTGCTAAGAACACACTGCTTTGACTTTCCCAAGGCTTCACACTCACTGTGCCGAGCTGTTGTTAGGGCTCCTTTCCTCACCCTGACAGACTGCTTTCTACTTCTAGAATAATTCTTGTTCTGTTGTCAGCAAACAAAACAAAACAAAAAACAACAAACAAACAAACAAAAATACCCTGCCTTTACTGGGAGGAGTATCCAACCATTGGCTACATGCAACCCAGGAAGACTGTGAGTATAGCCCAACACAATGCTATTAAGTCATTTTAACATTGTGACGGTTTTGTGTGTGTATGGCTTTTTAAAAACCTGAGAGTACTGTTCTTGAGTATGAACTCTGTAGATGACAGTAGTGTTATGCTACAATGACAAAGGTTGAATACTCCTGGCAGTGTGATGTTCTCACGGATTGGGGCATCTGGGCACATGCTCACCATCTTGTGTTAGTTTTATCTGACAACTTGTGGACTGACCACTAACCACACTCGCAAAAGGAAATTCCCCCAAGTGGTACATCCAGCACACATTCTTGTGAGAGAGATTCTTTCCCCACTATGGTGGGCCAGTCGATTTCACTAATCTCTGGCTTTCAGCGACCATAAATTTTAGTGTCTCCTCTCCCTGAAGCCATGGTCTCTTTAATCTCCACATTGGAAGTTCTCTTCATTAAGTGTCATCGGGGCTGGAGAGATGCTCAGCGATTAAGAGTGTTTGATATTCTAGAGGACTCCGGTTTAATTCCCAGCATCCACATATCGGATCACAACTCTCTGTAACTCTAGTTCCAGGAGATCTGATACCTTCTTCTGGCCTCCAGGGGCATACACACAGTGTACAGAAATATATCCAGGCAGAAGAGACATATACACAAAATAAAAGTTTTTTTTAAAAATCTGTTTTTTTAAATGCTCACTATTATGAAGAATGAAGGCCTTCTTCACAACACATGCACACCTGGTGACGAGCCCTGGAGACTCGGAGTACCAAAGTGAAGCCATTTATTTTATGAACTTGCAAAGTCTTATGCTTTCAACAGAGATAAGTCAGGTGGCATATTCCAAAGGAGTGCAAAGAACAGTTCTTAAAGCCCTGAGCACAGGCCACTCCCCCATGTTTCTCATAGTCTGAGCAATCAGGAATGTACGGTGTTATCATTATCTGCCCCTTGCATTTTTCTATTTCTCAACAAAGCTCATGCTGGGTTTATCTCTATGTTTTACATCCTATTCATTTTAAGGTTTGTTAGATGCATGAACTTGTCATGTTGTGCATGTTGTTAGGCAAAGCTTGGTTATTAACAATTTTTTTACTCTAAATTTCTAATTTAGGCAGGGGTATCCAGATTAGCAAACATTAGCCGGGGCCCAGTGCTAGACCTAAGTAGACCTAAGGCATTTTTGAAAATCAACCATTACTTTAGGTTTTATTTCTTACAAGGTGACAGATAGGATGGATCCTCATGGCAATGCAGGTGTACAGAATCCAAAAAGGGTCAAACTCTGACACCCTTGATGGTAGAACTTTGTTGATTGAACCTTGGATGTGGAACCAAGTCATATATGGAAGGAAACAGGGTAAAGGGCAACTGCTGTGTGGGCTGAGCCACAAGGTGTAAGATTCTGGAGTTGCTAGATGCAGCAACAGCTTCTTAGTTCAGCAGGCAGCTTCCTGATCCAGTGGCAACCTTGGCGGTCCAGCTCTAAAACACGGATTATAGGAGTCATTTCTGGGTCAATCTCAACTCTTTAGTGAGTCATTTCTGCTCCTCCCTTTCGTCAATGCTTTGGTAAGCCTGCTAATATAATCCTATGGTTGCAAAGCTCTGATATTTTCATACCTTGTTCATCTAGTGATGCAGACAAAATGGTTAGAATTTTTCTCTTGTCTTTACGATGGATTTTTCTCTAATGCTAGCTTTGAACTATTCTGTCCCCTTTTATCAACTTCTCAATACATTGGTGAATAGCTTTGTACTGAATTTTCTCCTATAGTTACATTGGAAGTTTCCCTGGTTTGATATATATGTGTCCAATCTTAAAAGATACTGATTGTGGTGGTGTGTGCCTGTAATCCAGCACTTAGGAGGTAGAGACAAGAGGTTCAGTTCAAGGTCATCGTTAGCCATATAATTTTCCAAATACCACATTTGAGGCCAGCCTGGAAGTGTGAGACCTGTTTCAAAATTTTTAAGTGTTTCCAGTGTTGTTGACCTAGTTAACTGGAACAGTTAGTGCATTAATTATAACATTATAACATATAATATATGTTATAAAATATAAATTTAATATAAAATTATAACATATAATTATTAAAAATAACAATGCATTAATTCATGGAACTCATATATTGCCTCTCAATTAATAAGCATATAATATATTACATACACATATATGCTGACGCTTATAACAGGCATACAAAAGGCTGGAGAAACATTGTGTCATTTATTAGCATCAGATCTGTGCCATGATGTTCATCTAAAAGCCATGCAATGTATATATGTCACATCTAGCATATTTCTTGACATCTGGGAGTTAACTAACTAAATCAATGTTGTTGGGGGATTTTATCCCTAAGGTGTCTTGTTATAACTCTTCCTCCTTTGGCTCAATTTCTTTTTCTTTTCTTTTTTCTTTATTGTTGTTATTTGCTTTTCAAGATAGGGTTTCTCTGTGTAACCCTAGCTGTCCTGAAACTCCCTGTGTAGACCAGGCTGGCCTCAAACTCAGGGATCTGTCTGCCCCTGCTTCCTGAGATTAAAGTCATACGCCACCACCACCATCGGCAGCTTTGGTTCATTTTCTGTTGGGGCTTATTTTGGCTCTAGATTTTGTTGTAGGTTTTTGCAGTGAGAAAATGGGTTCATTCATCATGAATATCCAAGGTGCTGGCTACCACAGCACTCATTTAACTGGGGAAGACTACGCTGAGGAGTTACAGAATTAGAATATGTCCTTGAAGAGTCTTCTTGAACACTTTGAAGTTTGGTCCTTCACTTTGACATAGTTTGAAGAACAAATAGGAAAGTCATATCCAAGCCTGAGCGGAGAGTGCTTTCTCATTTCACTAGTCCTATGGTGACAGCCCTGTGGTATGCTGACTGCTCAAGGTCATGCTGATTCTTCTGACCCAAAGAAGTGAGGAGCAAGCATTCAGAAGGAGCAAGAAACACACAACCTCAAATTCAGGACTTAAAAAAAAGACGTTCTTTATTGAGGGCAATGAGATGCAAACAATATAAAACTCAAAAGCTTCTCTGTCACTGGATTAACTTTTCTCTCTCTCTGCTTGCTGAATTGGAGTTGCATGTCATTTGCACATTCCCTAAGGGTCCTGATCTGCTCACAAGAAGCAGTGGGGCAGATTCCTCAAGTGACCCAGTGGGAGAGCACACATCAGGGTGGGGATACCAGTGCTCCAGTTGGTCTACTTCTTCCCCTTCTGCTTCATGTGTACTACAAAATAGTCATTGCATGCAATGGTGAGCCCCGCCACTAGAGAGAGGAAGCTCTGGAAGCCCACTTTGCCATCTCGGCACTGGTCCAGGTCCTTCATTATTTTGTCCACAGCCAGAGGGTCCTTTTGATTCTAAAAAAAAAAAAAAAATTAGTAAGAACAAAGGTAAACAATGTCAGTAAATGACGTCTTGACATAGGCAACTACTATCTCATTTGATCCAATCTGCTGACTGCCATGTGTATAAGGATAATCTCTCAAGTCCCTTCCGCTCTAGTCTTAGGTCCTAAGTGACCTTTGTTAAGTCATCAGCACTTTGCCTTTTCAGTAACTTCATATTTAGATTGTGCCTTAGAACTATTCTCACCATTTTCTGCTTCAAACTTAGATTTTTTTTTAGGGCAAATTTTTATTCCTGACACCATAGTCATATCCTTAAAAGGGAACTCTTTATGAAAGAGAGCTTCAGATTACTCAGGGATAAGTTTCAGGTCGAGTCACTGTTGTATTAGTTCTAAGAAGGTGCTAATGAGGACACCGGGTTTTGGTTTTAGAGAAGACTCAGAGAACTCTTTTTCTCCTTTGCACAGCTGGGACGAGCAAGTGTGCTGTCATATCTGTCATATCAACTATGTCGCCTGAGTCCATCACACAGTTTAGTTTGTCTTCACATATCCACTATAACTATGAATACAGGAGTGAGTGTGCTCTCTAGGAGGCCTTCCACTCTTCATGAGCTGAAATGCTAGTCACATGGTCTGCCTCTTTGCAGTCTTTGAGTTGGTAAACCTAGGCCGTCTTATTCTCATCGTTGGATGGCATGCATTGGACAACTTTCAAAACAAGCGTGTGTGGCTGGAAGGGTGACTCAGTTGGTAAGGTGCCAGCATCAGAACCTGAGTTTGCATCCATAGCACCCACATAAAAGCTGGTGCATCAGTGCATTCCTAGAATCCCAGCAACAGGGAGGCAGAAACAAGAAGATTCTGGAGGCTTACTAGTCAGCCAGTCTAGCCAAATTGGCTGGCTCAAGTTTCAATCAGAGACCTTATTTCGAATGTGATAGACCTGTGAGATAGCTCAGTGGGTAAGGCTGCTTACTGCTAAGTCTGATGGCCTAAACTAAATCCCTGTAGCCCACATGACAGAAGGAGATCATGTATTTCCTCAAGGTGTTTCTCTGACCTCCTCATGAATGCTACACTACGCACACAAAATAAATAAATGTAAAAATAATTTTTTTTAGGCAGAGAGTGATTGAGGGATGATACTTAACATCAAACTTGAGCCTTTACACACACAGAGAGAGAGAAAGAGAGACAGAGAGAGAGAGAGAGAGAGAGAGAGAGAGGGAGAGGGAGAGGGAGAGGGAGAGGGAGAGGGAGAGGGAGAGAGAGAGAGAGACATGTGCACACACATACAGATACACTCAAATAAATATGTGTGATAGAATCATAAAACTCCTTAATGCATAGCATGAGTGTGTGGGACAGAAATAGACAGATGCCCCGACTTGCATCTCGTTTCTACGGTGATTAGCTTGATAATTCCTTTTGCTGCTATGCTGGTTAGAAGTGCAAGATTGTGGTTACTCCTATAGGTCCAGGCTATCTCAGAGAGAGAAATAATCTCTGATGCAGTAGAGGCTGTTAAAAGACACAAAGTAGTTATGAATTCCAATGACTCAATGATTAGTGGGAGAATTGACTGACATGCAATATTTAAGTGTGCTGGATGCTTACACATTGCACTCAGAGATCTCTTATGGTAAAGTCATATTGTCTACCCGAGACTGTAAACCCCTACCCTAAGCTTTCAACTGAAACCTGCTGTATGTAGCTAATTCTGGCCTCACCCCCAGCTTCCTGGCTGTGGTCAGAATGAGTAAAGTTTGGATGACATAAGCCACTTTAGAAACAAAATGCTCTGTTATTGCAATGAGTACACGTCTAGAATTATGGCCCTGTGTATGCCTGGAATAAACTACTCTGCCCTGGTTAGCACAACCTCTTGCACACATCCTTTATACTTCTCATGTCACAGAGCCTTGAATATGGAAGGACCTGTGTCTTAGGTCACACATGATGAGTATTTTAATATTGAGAATGCCTCTGCAGATGTGTCGGGCTGCCTTACAAAAAGCACATTTTGTTCTTGCATTTCATGTCTATTTAGAAGAATCATAAGAAGTTAAAAGTGGGCATGTGAAGAATTATGTCCAAACATCTCATTTTAGAGAGGAGGGAAGCAGGACTAGAGAGTGAAAGCCACTGGCCACTGTTAGTCCACAGCTAGATCTTCTATGTGTTTGTCTGTGACTGCATCACAGTGCCTATGGCCACAGAGGAACTAGCTCACTGAGATAGCACCAGGGTGGTTACAGCTTAGTGGGAAGACCCAGGCCACTTAACTGATATCGATGATGTGTAAAAACAGTCTTCTGCAAAGCCCTGTGTTTATTAGAGTAAGCCAGGGCCTTAGATATTATGCTATTTATCAGGCAGATAACAAGAGGTGGGATCCAGCCATCTACCCCCATTTCCCCTTACCCTTCAGGGACTAATGCACCCCAGTATAAGAACCATCCTTTCTTCCCAGGAAAAGATGGGACTGTACCACAATCTCTACTGGGTCAATCAATATTTTGTCTTAGATGAATATTAAATTCAGCAACTGTTTCTTGAAGGCCTATAAAGTCAAAGGACAACTATGCCTAGTGACTTAATGTCTTGACTAGCATATATGAGAAGTCCCGTTCAATCTTCTCAAAGTGAGGTATAAACTAGGCTGTGCTTCTAGGCTCCTAAGATGACACTGACATTGTAAAAAGCTATTATTATTATTATTATTATTATTATTAATTTCTGGAGTGACACTTTGTTCTTATTCAGCCAGCAATTAGCATGATCCCTTTATGGGTTACAGCTGGAAAGAGAAGAAAATTCTTTTTGTCCAAAGGGATTTAAGAAGATTTGGCAAGCTCTCCAAGAGAGCACCTGCTTTGCCTGAATGCGGCCCTAGATTCAACCTGCACCTCACAGCCATACACAGGGCAGATTCAAGTTTTTCCAAGTGGTATATGACCAGAATGTGGAACTTCTGTCACAACGGTTATAGACCTAAGGTGCAGCAACCCTTGGTCAATTACACACGTATGAAAAGTCTTCCCCCTCATGATGTGCCAGTGGGTGTGGATATTTTCACCTGCAGATTGAGAGTTCTTTGAGGGAAGGGGTGGAATCTTTTCCATTTTGCTGCCCCTGTGATATATTAGCACACAGTAGATTCTATCTACTAAGCAAATGGATGAAACACTTCCAAGTAGTGACCCTACAGGGAAGGGATGGAAGAAAAGGGTGGGCACTCGGATTTTTATGTCTGGTTCTGAGACTTTCAGCACTTACTTCCAAAAACCCAGGGAATTCCCGTTCCATGAGCACTCTCAGGTCCTCCTTTGTCAAGTAGTCTTTGTCCCCCGCAAACCTATGAAACGTAAGCATCATGGTTTCCATGGCGTGCTCCATTTGGGATGGCATTTTGAAGAATCTGTTGAAACCTGTTAAAGGATAAAGAGAGTTTGCACTAACTTTTAAACCACGTGTATGAAAACCTGTAGACGATAATGGGAAAGGATAAAGCAGAAGGTCTAATCACCTTTCCCATAAAATTCAATCAATCTAAGGCCCTGTTTGGGGGCTTTTGTTGGTAGCAACAGACACTTCAGGTATTGGACCTCAGAATGTGGGATTTACCCAGATGTCAGCTACTCTACATGTTCCTAATCAAGAAAAAGAAGATATAACTTTCTAGAAAAGCAAGACAAGAGCTGCTCTTTTCAACTAGAAAGTACCAAATGAAAGAGATGTTTCCTTATTTCTCTTGGCACTGAAAATCTAATTCTTTGAAATGGCTGAACACCAACGAGCCACAAGTCCAACTTGGTTACTATCAAAGCTTCCGCCCTCCAGAATGACTCAAGGACCTGGAAACTTGCTTATATTATAGAAGGGTTTGTCTGCTGGCTGTGTCTACTCTACTAACGCTCTGAACTCCTGCTCTAGCAGTAAAATGCAGCTACTCTGTCTGAGTACATACTCCATAAAGTTCATTGTCAAGTTCAGCCGAGAAGGAAGAAGAATATATACAAACTCCTTTGGGAGCCAGATACATTTTTGGTACAACTATGCAGAAGCATTTTCCTCACAAGCTGGGGTGCAGTGAGAGACCAAGGGCTTTTCAGCATGAAGAGTTTAAAGAGAGGAAAGGAAATGTTATGTCACTGTGTTTAGTACAATGAACTGGTGCAAATGTTTTGGCCAGACCCAGTGCCTAGTGGAGTTCAGTGTCCATATAGAGTTTTGAGTACAAATGGAAGGAGAAGCTGGCAACTTCTCCTGCTGAGCAACAACAGGAACCTGGAGTGTGCTTCGATCTGAATCCTGCTGGTTACGGATGCCTGCTCAGATCCTTAAATTCTGTAACCCACCCCAACACACATACACTAACTCCTAGGGCCTCACTCATGCTATGTATATCTTCTTTCACTGAACTATATATACACCCTGACTCTCTTTTCACTTTTTATTTTGAGACAGGTCTCACTAACTTGCCTAGACTGGCCTTAACTTGAGATCCTCCTGCCTCTGCCTGTCGAGTAGCTGGTATTTCAAGTCTGAGCCACTAGGCCTGGCTTCTAAATAATATCTTTTACAGAGTCAAAGGTGTGGTGCTGAACACTGGCACTGAAGAATTATATTTAAGGATTATAATTCTACCTCTTTGTCTCAGAAAAATTATAAGAATCAGCTAAAGAATCCCTCACCTGAGAACACCGTCAATGAGGATCTGGCATGACTTGGACAGCAGCAAGTTTACACTTCAAAGTGTACACTGGCATGAAATCCAGGGGAGCTCCTCCCCTTCCCCCCCCCTCCTTTTGGTTTTTCAAGATAGAGTTTCTCTGTGTAGCCCTAGCTGTCCTGGAACTCACTCTGTAGACCCGGCTGGCCTCGAACTCAGAAATCTGCCTGCCTCTGCCTCCCAAGAGCTAGGATTAAAGATGTGTGCCACCACTGCCCGGCTCCCCTTTTCCTCTATACTGCTCGAATATGCCCCACCTCCCCAATCCCAGATATGGGTTTCTGGTGACAGCAGCGGGCTTAGAGAGAATCTACCATGCCTGGATTGATTTACAAGCACAGACTTCAGAAGAGAACTGAATTTCAGTCACCTAAAGAAGGACATGGGATAGTCACCTCAGTCCTTCAATCACTCAGGAAAGGAGCCATATGCCAATGAAGTAACCTCCTCTCAGAGCAAAGATTCCCAATTCTAGACAGCCAGCTGTTAGAACCAGGTGGACTTCTACTGTACTTTTCTCACAGGCATCAGGACAGCGTACTGCAGAGCTAAAGAGGGATTCCCCCAAATAGAAAAACAGGTCAATTTAGGACTCCCAGGAAATGTTAGCTGTAAGCAGAGAAAATCCTGGTCTCACTTGAACATCCTCTTCACAAGGGTGAGGTCACACTACCTTGCTGAGAGCTAAGGTCTGAGGTTAGTCTACTCCTTCCTGACTTACACAGAGGGCTATGAAATGGCAATGTTCCTCCCTGAAGCTTCATCTCTGCCCTAGGTCCTCCCTCCCCAACTCCTCTGTTTTACTCCACACACTAGTGAACACAGCAGCCCACTGACTCCCTGCTTCTTCAAGACGCTGGCAACAATAATATAGAGATGGGGCTGGCCAGTATACGCCCTTGATCCCAGAGGGCACTGACCAGGGCTAAAAGCAAGAAATTATTCTGGAGAAAGTTTTACAGTAAGGGAAAGGACCTAGGTGTGGTAGGGGCAGTCCCAATCCCAAGAACTATAAACTTAACACTCAGGGGAAAGGTGGGGCTGAGACAGGAGAGATAGACTTATCAGCCAGTCTGGGTTGTATAGACCCTGTCTCAAGAGTCAAAACAACAAACAAGCAAACACATGTAACAGAACTGTGAACATGCTGTTCTCTTGGATGAACGAATGCATCCTATTGTCCTTCTCTGACAGAGTGATCCTAACCAATCCTCCATTGCTTGGATGGGGCTTGCATCAGGGCTCACTACTCCCTATAATCCCTATAATTACTACTATAATCCATTACTAGCACGAGAGCTTTTCAGGAACTTGAATCTGGCATCTCCACTCCACCTAACGCCCCACAAGCTTCACTCCAGGTGGGGTGGGCCTTCCCCTTCTGATTGGGTAACACAGTTGTCACGAGGGCCTTGGGCATTGGTCTGAGAATTGGGGGAACCTTTACATTGTCCCTGACACCCCACTCCATACCTGGTATATTCAATGGGATACACCGGTTCACCTGCCTGCCTTGGCTCCAAAGCTGTCTTGGTCAAGAACTGCATATTGTTTTGCCTAAGTTGAGAGACCGCTAGAGGACACTGTTAAATGAATGACTCAGAGTAGAGGAGACACAGATGAAATTGTCTTTAGGCAGTCGACAACATTGTAGCTCAGAACACAGCAGCTGGAGGACATTTAACAGTTGACAACATTGCAGCTCAGTAGGGTTCACCTATGAATGGAATGGCAGAGTACATTGTACATTCCAGACACATAGGGATAAACTATATGTCCTGCTAAGCAGGTCTGGTCAGAAGCACAGGCTTTGCACTCCTGCAGTTTCTCTTGGTTTTGTTCTTCACACCTGCCACTGCTTGGGCAGCTCTGAAGGAAGGACTCAAGCCTGAGCCACTCACCTTTTACTGAACTGTTTTATTCTGATGTCCACCTACTCCCTTCAGGTTAGCCTGAGCAACCTGTCTTAACTCTCTTTCTCTGAAGAAAACAATTCCAGTTTCTGTCTCCTTTTCAGAAACACCTACTTTGCACACATCACCTATGGTGTTAAGTACCTACAATGTTCTTATTTTCTCTGTTGGTCTTTATGGGAGGGGCATAGGGCGGGATCCCTCTTCCTGAGCAATCCCAAATGTCTGTTCTGGACCTATGCCCAGGTCTAGGCTATAAATCTCAGAAGCTGGAAGTCTGACTTACTTTGCTCATCTGTATTTTGTCCATATCTTACTTTTCTTGAAGCCAACCAGAATTAATTAGGGTGTCAGTGACCATAAACATCCATCATTTTAAAATGTTTATAGAGTTTCTGTTCTTTTGTTTAGGAGAATTTGAAGAACAATCCTTTTTTTTTTTTTAATTAAATCCAGAGGACATTCTTGACTCTGACCCTTAGAGTATATTTGGGGTAGGAATGAGATTAAAACTATGGATTTTGGCTCAGACTTCTTCACCAAATAAAACTTGCTTACTACAGACATGGTCTACAAAAGAAAATTCCAGATGCAATTCAATAGGAAGAAAGACCTCTAACTCAACCAAGAACACCCATTTTCTCCATGAGGAGCTGTTATGATTCAGCAACCCAACCAACACTAGCTACACCGACAAGTGAGGAATATTTAGTTGAAGTGTTGAAAGTTGTCTTTAAGTGTCAACCAATCCCTCCCTGCCTCCCTCCAGGGGTGTGGTCCTGAAGAACTAGACCTTCACACATGCCAAGCATATTACTCCCTTTGCTTTTGAGGTGTGATTCCTAAGTTGTGTTCCTGAGAGCCCATATTTTAGTCCAGCTTTTCCCAGCACTGTGAGCATTAATTTATTTCATAATTCTGAAAGAATCTCATTGTTCCCTTAGCTAGGCTTAAATGGATGGAGTGTGTCCAAAGCATATCAAATACTTATGTATTTGCTGGGAGGCAGAGACACATGACTTTTTTTTTGAACTGTCAGTGGAAAGCAGGGAGGCATCCAGCCTCAGCCCCACCCAGCCCAGGGGCTGACCACATTGGGGAGACTGCTCAGAGGCTGGCCAGAGGCCAGACATAGGAAGACAACGACCCATCTGATGTTGTATTCAGGAAAAGCCAGGGAACAACATCACTCAGAAATCAGGGTGAACCCAAATAACTGCTCTATGCCAAGAAGACCCAAAAAAAAAAAAAAGAAAAAAGAAAAAAAGAAAAAGAAGAAAGAAAGAAGAAAAAGAAAGAAAGGAAAGAAAAAAAGAAAACACTACTCTTAGACTGTCAGTGACGATTAAATAGACATTGCATAGGCATGGGGGCAGGGGAGACTAAGGTAAAAGAAATTTCAGTGAATTCCTTTCTGCTCCAACTCCTGGCGTTAGTCGCAATTTGCTGAAGCACACCAAAGGCTCTGACAGGGTCTTTCCACCTAACTTGAAGTACAACATGCAAAAATCCACTCCTGGAAGCTGAAACTCAAGCTTCAGAGGGTAAAGAGAGAGAGACTTGGCATGGTTCTGCCAATCTAATCACTGCCCTCCCAGACAGCTCAGTCAAGAAACCCCTCCTGCAGGTTGGTGGCCAGTTAGTTGTGACTCATTTCCTCTTGGAAAATGCCCTGGAAGATGGCACAGTTCCTCTTTTCCTTCAGGGAGCGATCTGTTCAAACCATCCACAGAGAATCAGCAACCAGCTAGGCCACACCCAAGGTCTCACAGCTGAGTCACAGGCCGCAGATCACTAGGAGAATCCGGGAACCCTTTGTGCTAGCCCCACCCTGCAGAATGTGTCTAGCTTTCCTGGGGTGGGGAGGGGTAGGAGAATGAAGGGAGGTGGGTTCTGTGGATTTCAGAATGTGGCTCCGGGCTCTTTGCTGGTCTGTTACATTTCTGTTTTCTTTGCCACCTACTCAGCAATTTCTCTAGAGTCCGCCCAGGCAGGGCTAGGAAAGAAGTCAGTCATCCTGTAGCCAAAAGCTCAGGCCGTGAAGCAGGTACCACTGCACCACATCAAATTAATCCCGGACTGAAAGAAGATTCTTCACCAAGCCTGCTCTTGCTCCATCTCTCTCTAGTTCCCTTTATTTAATCCAAGTAGCAGGAGGAACACTGATAGAAATTCAACCCAGTACCTCTTCATAAAAACAACAAATAGATAGAAAGTCCTGCTTTAAAGATCCTTCCGAAGCAACCTGGAATTTGCACTGGGGCTAAGGCAACAAGCAGAGCAGAGTCCTTTAGAAAGGGAATCCTCCAGCCGCCAACCCTCCCTGGCCAAAGCAGCTCAGACAGCCTGGTTGGGAAGGAGGCTATGAACATCTGGACTGAGGTCTGCCTGTAGCCTAAAGCTGCAAGCAACTGCCAGCTGGGACAGAGCGCAAGCAGGTTCTGCTAAACTCCAGTTAACTCTTAAGACTAGTTGTAAAGTAGAAAAGATGAGAATGAAGAACCACACGCCGGAAAGGAGATCAGAGGAACAGTGGTCCCAACGCCAGGGTGGGGTAGCTGCAGACAAGAGTGACCTCCGCCCCAGCGGGTCTGGGGGCGTCCTAAGCAGTGTGCAAACTGGAGGGTGGCCCCACCCAGGCCCGGGGAGAGAAGCACCTAGCGAAGCTGGGCTGGAGGCCGAAGCAAGCGGGTGTGGGGTTCCCGGAGGGCAGACATTAGGTGCGGGACTCACCTGGGCCCCGAGGCGCAGCAGTTCTAGAAAGAGCTGGGCACACCACAATGAGGCCAGCGCCGAAGTCCGCGCGTCTTTGTACACTGGGCGGGTATAGAGGGCGGAGGCGCCCCGGAGCGGGAGGAGCCTGGAGGGCAGGCAGCCGCCCTCTCCACCCATCCCTCCCTTCCTGCCCCCCACCCCGCCCGCCAGAGTTCGTTCTCTCTCTCTCTCTCTCTCTCTCTCTCTCTCTCTCTCTTTCTCTCTCTCCCTCTCTCCCTCTCTCTCCCTCCCTCCCTCTCTCCCTCCCTCCTTCCCTCCCTCCCTGTCTTTCTCTTTTCTCCCCACTTTCTCTCTCCAAAGCACAATGCAACACACACACACACACACACACACCACACCCTTCCCACTCACTCTGCCAACAGACTAACTTCGCTCGTCCCCAGGGGCAGCCCTATTGTAAACGTCCCTGCGGAGGAATGCTCTTAGTCTCAGATATTTCAGGGCATTCTCATCCAGGGCCGTGCCCTTCCTCTCAGGTTTGGTTTTAGAAAGTGAGTGAGTGTAGAAATAAGAATCCAGCCATCTTTCGGAGCACACCAGCCCAGAACTAGAGCCAAGTGCCTCTGCAGGAACCTACAGGGTTTCAGGTTTGTTTTTTTATTTTTTTTATTTTTTATTTTTTGCTCTAGCATCTGGTCCTGGGGTCTCCTGTGTTGAGTGCAGACACTAGGCCCCTGGGCTCTTGCCTAGCCTTGCCAACACTGAGTGGTGAGGAGCAGGGCATGTGCTACTTGCTTATCAGCTTCAGTGGCATCTTTGTAACAGGGTTCACCTTTCCTGGTACAACGTGTGGTTTTGCTTGGTCGATAGTTTCAGTTGTGACCAATATTGCTAAAATCTGTTTCGGAGCCTCCTTCATGACTTGGCTCTAAAAAGCTCTTTGAAAGAAATTTCTGGAGGATATTTAGAAACGACTGAAGCGTCTCCTAACTGACAATCACACCCTTCCCGGATACTTATTTTATGTGTGGTTTGGGGTTAAATGCATACTACTATCAGCTATTGGTGACTGGTGACACAGCCCAGTTCCTAGCACTGGGGTTTCCCCCACCCCCTCCGTTCCCAGGGGAAGTCCTGGAAAGGATGAGAGATTCCAAAGGGATAAACAGAATTAGGGAATTCTCCATGCGCCGCCACCACGTGACAGTCTTGGCAGAGGTCAGGAAAACCCAACTTGGATCTGCTCTCTTTTTTCCAGGGTCTCTGAAACCTCAGTTCTGGCACTTCCAAAGTAGTTCTTCCAAATCTTCCTACAGGCCTCCCCCAGGTCATTGCAACTGTGGAGGAAATCTCAGGGAAAATGCAATTGAATTTAGAATATTTCTACTCATTGGCTTTCTTCATCTGGGGCACGATCCTTAGAATGTTTATATGTGCTAGAGCCTGGGGATACAGAGATGGGAAATCTGTTTCTTCTTTCAAAGAGCTCCAAGATTTCTGAGAATATTGTAAACAATTCCCTGTGGTTACTGAGCAATACAAGAATGTTGGACAGGGGCTTCTAAGGCCGGGTAGTGGGCAGCAATCTGATACAAGGAGGAAGCAACATTTGATAAGAACTCAACAAATAATCACTGTAATTCTTTAATCTGCAAAACTACTATAACCTTTAGGCAGGTGTATAGGTGCTCATTGTGTCTGAGTGCTTTTTAAAAATAATTATTATGTGTCTGTGAACGTGCATGTGTCTCCATGTGCATGTGTGCCGGACCACATACGTGACACTGTGAGAACAGTTGTCAGGAGTCAGTTCATTCCGGTGGGATTTGGAGATTGAACTCTCGGAACCCCTGTTGACCCAAACATCATAATCCCTTTGGAATAACAGCAATTAAAACAAAAGATAATTAGTTATAAATGCATGGGCCAAAGAATAAACACTTTCATGTATTTCTTTCTAATCCTATACATATGACTATATTGATTTTTAAAATTGGCGGTATTCTTTTTTGTTCCACAATATTCTTTCTCTCCCTGCTCCTCACTGTTTTTGAGGTGTCAGGATTAACCAGATTGAACTCAGGGCTTCTCTCGCATGCTAGGTAAGCCCTCTACTGCTGAGTTACATCTGTGGCCCGCTTTTGCTTTTTCTATGTCACTGTTTATCAAGAGCATCATGTTCACTCACTCATTTTTCCCCCTTTTCATTCCTTTAGTAACTATGTTCTTCAATCTTCTACCAGAACTGTAGGATTCTGGAGCCCTAGTGGGCACAGCCCCACAAAGATGCTGAGGGCACATGATGAACAGAGCCAGCAGGATAGACTCTAGCAAGTGCTCTCTCACCGACTCCCTGTGAAGCTTCTTAGCTGCTCTGTGAACTGATGCGTCCATGAAGCTTCCAGTGTTGAAGCTGTGTGTGGTGAGGCATGTTTGTAGTTCTAGCACTTGGGAAGCAAAAAGATTGTGCATCTGAGACCAGCCTGGGCTATATAGTGAGGCTGTCAAAAACAGATCAAAACCAAAACCTTCCTCTCCAGGAAAAATGACCCCAGCCAAGTTCTTTCTGCAGGAAATGGCTATGCCTTGTTAATCACACAGACAAAGTGAAACCAACCCTACTTTCCTACTAACTGTTGACTGGAGCAGAGACCAGCTCTCTGTAGTAAAGCTCAGAGTCCTGACACTGGTGCCTTTGTTGACACCTGTTTAGGAAGTGGGAGCTTGTGTCTAAGGTAGCAAGAAGCCACTGAAGCATGTCAACAGGAAATGAGCAGCTCTCCTTCTCAGCCCTAAGGCTCTATCTGGGCACATCCCCACAGCCAGTCAGCCACTTCATTGTGGGTAAAATGCAGGTGGATTTATTCATCTTCTCCTGTGCAGGAAAAAACTGAGCCGTCATAATGAACATGAAGGTGTCCTGCTCAGTTTCAGCAGGCCCCACATCTTCTGTGTGATCTACCTTGCATGGGAAGTAGCTTTAGAAAACTCAGGTTGGGCTGCTGGCCACTACTAACAGTGAGTGGAGGCTTCACTCTGCCAAGGCTGCATGAAGCCTCTGTCTTAAAGCGGCAGCATCCGAAAGACTAGTGTTTTACTGTTTTTGTTTTTCCTACAGAATTTTCCCCCTTTAAAAAGTATTTATTTTTTAATGTGTATGTATATGTACCACTGTGAGTGTATGCCATTTGTATGCAGGTCTCTGCCAGGCCAGAAGAAGATGTTGGATCCCCTGGAACTGAGTTACTTGATGTACTTGCTGGGAAGTGAACTGCTGTTCTCTGAAGAAGCATCAATTTCTATTAACTCCTGAGCCTTATTGCCAGCCCTCCAGAAGTCCTCTTAGTTCAAGGTTGGAAATCACTGCTTCCATCTGTAAGAAAGATGCAAATGTCAATGATTATACTCTATCAAATATTTATTGAGTGATTTATCAATTCCCACAGTGATTTGGCTACTGGAAATGTGCCAATGACCAAGACAGAAAATCTCTGACCCAGAGCTGTGTTAGATAATTTTGTGTCAACTTGACATAAACCAGTGTCTTCTGAGAGGAGGGAATCTCAACTAAGACAATGTCTCCTTAAAAATCAGGCTGTAGGCAAGCCTATGGAGGATTTTCTTAATTAGTGATTGCTGGGGGATGGCTAATGTGGATGGTGCCCTCCCTGGGCTGATGGTCCTTGGTGCTATAAGAAAGTAGGCTGGGCTAGCCAGAGGGAGCAGGCTAGTACGCAGCACTCCTCCATAGCCTGCATCAGCTCCTGACCCCAGGTTCCTGCCCTGATATCCTTTGATGATGAATGATGGTATAGATGCATAAGCCAAATAAACGCCTTCCTTCCCAAACTGCTTTTGCTCACAGTGTTTTATCACAGTGATACCAACCCCAATTAAGACACAAGCCTTTCCTAGTGAAAAAGAAAAATGAAATAAAAATTAAGATGAAAACTTAAATTTGTGAATTGCAATGAGTGCCATAAAAAAATAAAGAAAAAAAATAAGATTCTATGAGGAGAATAGATGGAGCCTGTTTTATATAGAAGGTCAGAGAAGGCTGCCCTGAGTTGGGGATATTGAAACCTAGATTTAAAGGAGGAAGAGGGACGAGGGTAGTGGGCAGGGGGAAGGGAAGGAATCGAGGCGGAGTGAATGTTAGTTTGATAGCAGAACTGAAAACCACCACTGTGTCTGAAGCACACTGAATGAGGGGGTGACTTGAGAGGAGCCTAGAAAAGTAGTGTTTACAAAGAGCTGTTAAAATATCCTGCTGGCAGTGGAAAAACAAAAGAAACAAAATAACCAGCTACCAACTAGGGCAGGCTCTGCAAACTTGGGGAGTGAATCATATTCTCCTGCTGTTTATTATCTATGACATCTTGAATATATTACCCAGCCTCCCAAGATCCAGTTTTCTCATCTCGAAAGAGGCTTAATAGCAGGCACCTACCTCATAGGGATTTTATGAATATAAATAAGAAAACATATGTAACTACTTAGCAGAATTCCCAGCATTTAATAAATACTCCGCTCAAGTTAGATATGCATTTTACTAACAGGCTGAGCATAGGAGATGGCCAGGAAGACTCGTGTTGTACTAACCTCTGTGGCGTGATGGCATTGTGCCACGGTGAGTCTCTGCTACATCTTTTTCTTCCCCTGTGACTTGAATTTCAAATTCCTACTCTGGAGGAGTTTGGTGATGGTGTGGATTATGAAGGGGTCATAACAGGGATCAGATGATTCGTGTGCAGCCATCCTGAAGGAGGAGTCAGCATTTTAAGTCTTTTGAGAAATCTTTTAAAATATTTTGGCTGTTTAAAAAAAATGTTTTCTTGAGTATTATTATTCTCTTTAAAAACTTAAAAAAAACTTATCTATACAGGTATTTGGGTGCATGTATACTTCTGTACCGCATGCGTGTAGTACCCTCAGAGGGCTTTGGATCCCTGGAATTGGAGTTACAGAGGAGTGTGACCCACCCTGTTGGCAGGTCCTCTGGAAGATTAACCAGTGCTCTTAACAACTGAGCCATCTTTCCAGCCCCATTTTTCAGTTTTGTCCAAATCCCAGTGCTTGGCACTCGGAGAAGAATGTTGAGACACAGCATGGCTGTCAACTGCACTGTTGGAAGAAACCGGGCTGGGCGAAGGTGGAACCTACAACAGAGAGAATCTCTTTGTTAATTAGTGAAATTGTAATGTTTCTGACTCAGAAATACGACTTTTTGGAACGTCAGTGGTCCAAACTTCTTGCTTTTGTTGTTGTTTGTATTTTAGTTTTCAAGTTTTCTGATTTTTTTAAATTTTTATTTATTTTTTATTAAATTATTTATTGACTCCATCCAGGTCGCAGCTCCCCTCCCTCATCCCCTCCCAAACCCACCCTCATAAGTCCCCTTACTCCACCCCATTACTCCTTCTCCTCAGAGAAAAAGTCCCTCTTAGGTACCAGTTTGCCCTGGGACATCCTTTGGCAACAGGTATAAGTGCATACTCTCCCTCTGAGGCCCGACCCAGGGAGGTCTGACCAGGCGGTCCAGCTAGGGAAAGGGGATCTAATGGCAAGCAACAGAGTCAGAGAACTGGACCCGGGCCCAAACTTCTTGTAAAAGGTAAGCTGGCTCCTCAAAAGAAGGACCCTGGATGCTCTGTTTCCAGTTCCTCCTATAGGCTGGAAACTGAGTGTTGTGGGAAGATCACAGGCTCATACTGGGAAAAGCGGATGTCCTTGCCTTCTAGTTAATGCTGTGGGGCCCTCTGGCGGTCAGGAAGTGAATAGCTCTTCAGTAGGGTGAGTAATCTTGATTGCCTCAAGCAGAGAAGTGTTCATTTTCCGAAGATCCAATACGGAGTTGAGAAAATGGCCTACTTGGCTGAACACAGGCTGATACTGAAGTAGGCCTGCACCCTGCCTGTGTTATGTAAAATTTCTCAGAGCAGTGGGAGAAAGGAATGGTGTATTCTCCAAGTGCCATTTTAAAAGCCGAACATAGATTGAATTGTATTGGATTTCACATATGTCAAAACTCAGTTTTGCCATAGAATTCAACCAGTTTTATCGATGGACTTTAAGTAAATTCCTTCTCAATCCTTTGAGCATAGATTCTCTGACAATCAAGAACCTAGCTACCGAAGGCTATAGTGGTTAGTAGTCAGTCGGGCACTGCTGAAGGGTATCTCGGTCAATGTTATACAAGAACCAAAGAGTAGTTCTATGTCTCTCCTGCTAAAAGTTCACAGAACACTTTTAGTTTTTTTTCTGGTGTTTGGTTTTTGGTTTTTGTTTGTTTGAGACACTGAATGGTTTTATAGTTCATAATGAAATGTTCTGTTTTATAGAGTTATCTCAAGAGGTGTTTTAGGGAATGGTTCAGCAGCAGAACTTATGCTTAGGACCCTGGATTCAATCCCAGCATAAGAAAAAAAAATTTTTAGGTTGATTGGTGTTGTAACTATAGTAAGAACCTGATGTATCTTACATGTCTTTATTTTAAATATATTTGAGAATTTTATATATGCATACAGTGTACCTGGATCATAATACCCCCAATCTTCTAACTCTTCCAAGATTCATCCATAAACCCTCTCCTTCACGTCTTCTTTTAAATTTTTTTCTTTAAAAATTAACATGCTGAGTTTAGTTTGTTTTTATATTGAAGAAAATTTTTTCATACAATATATTCTGACCACACTATTTCCACCCCCCCAACACCTCCCAGATCTATCTTCTTACCCAATTTTGTGCACTTTCTCTAGAAAACAAGCAAAAAACCAACCCCCCCAAAAAAACAGACACAAAATACCCCAGCAAAACCTCAAGACTTTGAGCCAAAATATATTGAAAAAAAAAAAGCCCAACAAAGCAATATGAGACAAAAGTCTATAAAACTATCAAAGAGGTTTTTTTTTTGTTTTTTGTTTTTTTGTGCTGGTCAGTTACTCCTGGGCCTAGGGCCTACCCTGAAATTTGGTTAATATACTCAGTGAGACTCCATTGTAAAAAATTAATTTTTCCTTTGCATATGGTATCATTTATAAATAGCTTCTTGGTTTATTTTCCCCCTCTCAGTCCTGGGACTCCTGCTTGAACCTGTACAGGCCCTAGGCATACAGCCACAGTTCTCTGTGAGTTCATATGTGCACCAACCCTATTGCGTGTGGAGAGGACTGTTTCCCTGAAGTCATCCCCTCTAGCTCTTACAATCTTTCCTCCTATTCTTTAGAACCTGCTGAGCCCTGAGGAGAGGGGTTTGATGAAAACATCTCATTTAGGACTAAGTGCTCCAGAATGTCTCAGTCTCTGCACACTGTCTCTGTGGGTCTCTGTGTGAGTTCTCATCTACTGCAGGAGGAAGCTTCTCATGATGGCTGAGGGAGGCCCTGGTCTATGAGTATCACAGAGTATTGTTAGGAGTCATCTCACTGCCACATTCCTTTAGCAGAACAATAGTGTCTGGGTTTCCTCGAGACCAGTAGATCTCAACTTGTCCCCTTTTGGGGAGTCACATATCAGATATCTTGCATATCAGATACTTAATTATGTTTCATAACAGCAGCAAAATTACAGTTACGAAGTAATTCTATGGTTGTGGGTCACTACAACATGAGAAACTGTATTAAAGGGTCACATCACTCTGAAACTTGCGAACCCCTGATATAGGCTCATGGCCTATCCAGTCTCAGGTTCTTGACTTTAGCAGTGTCAGGCCTGGGTTCTGTCTCATGGAGTGGGCCTTAAGTCCAATCAGAGTGGTGTCACTTCATACAGAACCCCTTCCTGGGGAGAACTTGGCTCCGGGCATACGTTTCCTGGCTTGGGATTGGACAGGATGACTGACCGGCTCAGCCATCTATCTGTTGACATGGCTATGACAGGCTCAGCCATCTATCTGTTGACATGGCTATGACAGGCTCAGCCATCTATTAACATGGCTGGGAGTTGTGTACAGATACTGAGCTAGAAGCTTGAGGGAATGCACAGACAAGGTGGCACATTCCTTGCATTAAAAGGAAGGTGGTGAGTGGAGCCCAAGGCTGACACATCAACTGAGGACTGATATAGGAGTGGATAGTCTTAGGATGCTGGCCAGAAGGCATTTATGTTCCCTTGAAGTGCCACAGAGTGCTCTAGGCTCTTTGGTTCCTGCCCCTTGTCCCCACCTGTGCACAACTTCATTCCCTCAATGCTGAGAGATTCCTTTGGGTGTGGCAGAAAGTGGAAATTAGGGGACTACAGAGGTGGTGGAGGAGAGAAGTCTTGGCTCACGGTCCAATGGGTACATCTGAGGAGAGCAAGCCTAGATTATGGATTCTGTCTTAATCTGAGTGCTGTCTCTGTACTGGCTGATTTTGTGTGTCAACCTGACAGAAACTGGAGTTATCACAAAGAAAGGAGCCTCCCTGGAGGAAACGCCTCCATGAGATCCAGCTGTAAGACATTTTCTCAATTAGTGATCAAGGGGGGATGGCCCACTGTGGGTAGTGCCATCCCTGGGCTGGTAGTCTTGGGTTCTATAAGAAAGAAAGCTGAGCAAGCCAGGGGAAGCAAGCCAGTAAGTAACATCCCTCCATGGCCTCTGCATCAACTCCTGCTTCCTTACCTGCTTGAATTCCAGTCCTGACCTCCTTTGGTGATGAACAGCAATGTGGAAATGTAAGCTGAATAAACCCTTTCCTCCCCAACTTGTTTCTTGATCATGTTTGTGCAGGAATAGAAATCCTGACTAAGGCAGTCTCCTTTTCTCCCTCTTTCCCTCCCTCCATCCCTCCACCCCGTCTTTCCCTATTTCCCTTTCTCTCCTTAACAATATACGATATATTCTAGGAAGTAAATAAGCTAATGCCTGCCACATTTTAAAAGTTATTCATATTTCTTGGCTTCATCAGTTCCTAAAGGCAGCCATGGCTGCACTAGCCTGAGCGAGGACAAAGTGGCTTCTCATTGTGAGACATCTGCCCATCACCTTGACCCAACACACAACAAAATATTTTATTCTTACTAGTACTCAGTGGGCAGCTATGGTAAAATAGAAAATAAAACTCCAAGATCTGGGTTCAGGGACTCCTGTTCATTAGCTTTGTAACTTAGAAAAATCACTTAACTTCCATTTCTTTATCTTCAAACTAGGGATAACTGTTATAAAATACAATGTGGCAAGGAGGTACCTGGTGGGTCCATGCCAAGGTATGCTCCTGAGAAATTATGCCATGAAACATATCTGGTATAAGGGGGTTTATTGTGGGAAGGGAGAGGGGTAAGGACCTGGGAAACGGTAGAGGCAGATGAATGAGCCATGAGGTCAGAGAGGTCGGGGGAGGGAGTGAGGACCTGGAGAAGGGGTAGAGGCAGACGAGTGGACAGCAGTTAGCCAGACAGATGGATGCAGAGCTATGAGGGCAAAGAAGAGGAGGGGCACAGAGAAGGAGAGGGGGTCCTGGCAGTCACTTCTTTTATTTGCAGCCCACACCTGGCACTCCTGGCTGGCTGACAATGACATAAACCCTGGGAGGAACCTAGTGGACTTGCTTGTAAGCTAATAGTAATAACCAATAAAGTTGACCTTTTGTATCCATGAGTTTTGCAGGTACAGATTCAACCAACTATAGATGGAAAATGTGCAAGAAAAAAATTTAAAACTTATATCCGGGTTGAGCATGTATAGGTTGCTATTCTCTAAATAACACAGTGAAACTATGGTTTCCATAATCTTTATATTGTAGTATATATTACAAGTAATTTGTAGCCAATCTAAAAACTATGAAGGAACATGCACAGGTAATATGTAAACACTGTACTGTGCCATTTTGAATATCCTTGGATTTTGTCACTAGGGGTCTTGAAACCAATCGCCCTGTGTACACTTCAAAACAGATCTATTTGAGAACCTCAAGTTTGGGAGGTACAGTTATTCACACGCTGAGTGCCAGCTATATGTCTAGAACTATAGAAACACATGGATACAAAATAAAGAACTATAGAAACACATGGATTCAATGTTTCTTTTGCAGAAGTCAACCTAGGAGAGAAGACAGACCAAAAAACAAACATACAAACAAACAACAGCAACAAAACCAAGATGTATAATGTGAAACATATGGCCAAGGGACTGTGGCTACTGCTAGAGTACAAACCTGAGTGCAAAGGTGAGGAATCACCAAGAGTTACAAGAGGCTTCCTGGAGACCGAAAGATGTATTCGAGTTAGGCAGGCAAGAATGGTGGGGAAACAAAGATAGAAGGGAGAAGCAGCTGGTTAGGAGGTATGACTGTTATCTTGACTGTCAACCCCATAGAGTACTCTATGAGGGTGTTCCTAGATTTGGTTAATCGAGGTGGAGAGGCTTACCCTGACTGTGGGTGGCACCATTCCCTAGGCTGTCTATGAATGCTGTGTGACCAACTGCCTTGTGCTTCTACCACCATACTTACCTCACTACAATGGACAGTAGCCTTAAACTTTGAGCCAAAACAAACCCATTGAGTTACTTTTGCCTTGTATTTTGTCACAGCAGCAAGAAAAGTAACTCAAATAAGAAATTCAGTGATTATGTACTGGGTGTTTGGAGCTCGAAGATCATGACACAGAAACTATGAAGGGCCATACCACAGAGATTCTAAGTTGTTGAGTAGGGAGACATCACAGACATTGAAAGTTTGACTATAAAAATAAGGAAGGGCTCAGAAGACGGCCTAGTGATTAAAGTGCTTTCTGTGCCTGAATCCTCAGTACCCATCTAAAAAGCTGGGCCTGGCAGCCTGACCTTTAATACAACACCAGGAAGTAGAAACAGGATTCTGGCAGCTAGTAGCTTTCGGCCTATCCAATTAGAGAGCCCCAGTTTCAGTGAGTGACTCTGTCTCAAAAGTAAAGTGGAAAGCAATAAAGGAAGAGGCTCAACACTGAACTCTGGCCTTCACATGTGCATGATGTATGGCATGTCCCTCCAATAC